ATGCTGCTGCTGTTGTCAAACGTCAGCAGAATTCGATGAGGCGCACACCTATCAGATTGCTCAACCACACCATCCAACTCTCTCTCTCTCTCTTTCAGAATAGAGCAGTTATGAATGATTGGATCAACGATCACTCGTATAGCGTTTTTGTTTCGTCATCGGCGTACGTTTTGGCACTATTCCAAAGTGCGTCAGAGGTATTTATTTTTGTGCAAGCGCGAGCGAGAAGGCTCGCCGAAGGGGGGGGGGGCATTTTTTGCACCTGTCACTAATTTCATTCATTCAGCTTTACGGCGGCTCACACTCGCGCCTGAAATCGCATTTTGTGTCGCTAATATATCGAATTAACGCGATCTCGTGGGGGGGGCTCGCCGCCAGCTTTTCGTCTCCCCCGTCCTTCATTTCACCGACCGGGGGGTTTTCCATTTTTAGCCCATTTTCCGCACTTATGATCTTGTTATTATTGTTATTATTGTTGTTTTGCATGAAGACGGCACCGAAGCTTAGTAGTTCATATGACGACGAGACAAACGGGTTTCGCCCATTCATTCCCAAATGCTTCCACTCATTTCATCATTCCATTCGCTTCCTCCTGGCGCGTTGAAGACGTTTGGTGGTCCGAATCGTACGGCATCGGCTGTTGATCGTTGATCGACAATCACCGCACAATTATGCGCAGTGTAATATGGTCGCCGGACCATTGGAATATTACACCCGCCTCCCACATTCCCACATCTCATTTGATAAGTGTTTTTGGATTATCCCAATCCCGGTGAATAATAATTTTTGGTCCCGAATCAACCAGAAGATCAAAGAATCAGGTAATAAATTGTGTTGATGGGTGGGGAGGGGGGGGGTCGGAGTTCGACGCGCGATATCTCTTGCCAATCGCTGACTTGAACCCATCTCCGTGGCAATTCCCGAATAGGTCAAAATATGTTTTGCGTGTTTTTGTTGTTTGTTGGAATACAATTTTGTACTCAAAGTGCACTGACCGATAGAGTTGAATCTCGTGAGTCGCCATTCTCATTATTTAAACCCCCTTTCCGGTCTGGCGATTGCTCTTTCCATTTCGTTTTTTCATATTTTATGCCCACATTTTTTGTATCCCGCCTACCGTAATTCGAGACATCTTCTTTGTTGGATGTGAGTCAGAAAAATTGTTTTTTTTTTCGCTGAACACAATCGCCAACTTGGAAATCGGCTTATTTGTTGGATTATGGAAAATGAGCAATTATGATGATGAGTTTTTTTCCCTGATTTTGTCATTTGACTTTATTTGAACTGAATTAATTTATTGAGCTTCTCCTCGCCGCCTCGTAGAGTACATTCGCAATTTTTTACTCATTCATATTCTTTCGTCGGATTAGCATATCTCCGTTTGGCGTTAAGCTCATTTGAATGGATGAATGAATGAGTATATTTATATTTATGTATGTATATCTCTTTTAGCTCATCAATCACATGCTGCCTGCCGATTGCGGACTTTCACGTGCGCTCGCTTGTTTGCCCTTTGATGGGAGACAGGGAGGGCTTGCCTAATCAGCTGACTGAGTATTACTAGGTCGGCGGCGGCGCCCTCGCGCGTGCGCGAGCGCTTCCTTGTCTCACGTGAATGTGATGATTTCCTTTGCAAACAAAGAAATGTTCGCAACATTTCTTTTTGGCGAATTACTCAATCTCTCAGTTTTTTCATCCTTCTGTACTCTATTTTTTGTGTGTGTTTCGTATTTGTATTGCTTTTGGTTCGCTGGATGCCATCATCTGCGCACAAGGGTCGTCATCATTTGTCTGGGTCGCTCGCGCACACGCGTGCACATACGCGCACACATATAGGAGGCACAAAAACGCAACTGCGCGAACGGCACCCTGATACCGGCTGGCACCGGGTTCGTCGCGTCGAGTTCAAATAGACTGATCTGAACTGATGGAATTTCCTCCTGGTGGAGGGGGAGGGGAATCGGGGCATTATTGGCAGGCGCAAGCGAATCTCTCCCGTCCGGAAGCATTCCTGAAAAACATGTGATTGATGAGTCGTTCGCTGGAAATCGGTTGGCAGTAGGAAGCCGCACCGATGAAATTGTGTAAACCTCAGAGCTTGCCAAGTTTTCGAAAACGCTTGCAGTCGGAGCTGGAGGAGTAGGAGGAGGAGCAGGAGCAGCTGCTGCAGCTTCTCCTACTCGCCAACCGGAAGCCCATCAATTGTTTTTTTTGTGTGTTTCGTTGTGCTACTCATCGTTTCCATGAGCTGCCCGATTGCTGACGCATTGGATCATTGCAAGCTCCGCCCTTTCCCACGTCTCCTTCCTCCTAGCCTCTCTCGTCTCCTCGTTCAATCATTTTCATTCAACAGTTTATTCGTATGAACACACAAACATGCGGCTTGGCGAGTCTTTGCTCTCCTCCACCTTCCTCGATTATATTTGATTAACCTTACCGATTGGGCTCCCCCCTCCCCCTCCTCTTTTAGTCGGCGGGATACAGTGGAGGGTTGGACGGTTGTTGGCTCGAGTCCAAATTTCGGTCTCCTCCTCCTCCTTGTCCGCCCCCTATTTGCCTCGCATTGCCCTTTGTCGCTTTGTTTCACTTTTTTTTGTACCGTTACCCCCCAGGCAGGAAATGAGATAAAGACGAAAACGGAGAAAAAGTAGAAAGAGTCACATTTATTTTGAGAAGGACACAAAAAGTGCATTTCCTGCGCGTGTAGCTAAAGGGGGGGGGGTCTCCCATCACATTTAAATCTAAATTGCTATTATTCGCCAGTTTTGACACTGGGTGGTCGCCGCCCGCGCGCATACGCTAAAGGGCAAACCCATTTTTTTGTTCTTGTCCTTTTAAAAAATTCTGATCAAAATTAATGGCATTTTTTCGCGAGCGATGCCGAATGCATAACTGATTAGTCGTTTTGTCATGTTCGAGAAGATTGGTGGGTTGTTGTCGGAACCAGGAACCCTGGCCGAATCGCAATGAATAAGAATCCGACCACACCCGCTTCCCGTACTCGATATGACGGCGTGTGGTGGGGTGAGGGAGGTATTTTTGTGTGAATTTCGCAATTCCTAGGTAGGCGCCGCCCCTTCTCCCCGCTTGGGGGACTCCTGAGGTTTAGTAGAATCGTTATCTGGCATACATTACAGAAAAATTATTTGCTTGTGCACGCCCCCCCCCCAACCCTCCGATTATGTTCTTAAAGTTTCACGCAACCTTTTCTAAAACGTGTGGCATTTTCAATTTGGAATGACCTTATTGCAGTTGGCAATTATCCAGAAATGGCAGCGTGAGGAGTAAACTATAAACGATGTGATGGAAAAATTATGGGGGGGGGTGGGCTCATTCTCGCCACCTCGTTCCCTCATTATGTCACATCCGGCGTTGTCATCGTCTTGGGTGCGATTCGCGCGGGAAAACATGAGGACGAGGAGGAGGAGGAGGAGGAGGATGGTGTTTTGAAGGCAGGTGGTGACAGTAGGCACCAGTGTTGGTCGGGGTCCCATGGTCGACCCCAGGCAAGGGCGGAGTGCGCGAGTAGTACGATGGTCTACTGCCGTCGCTGCTGCTGCTGCGCGAACCTTGGTGACCAGGCACACCCAGCCACCCGGCGGTGGTTTTCCTTACGAGTGTCGCCGTGGTTTTTTTTTTCTCCAAATCGGCTACGTTTTCGAAAGGACGTTTCTCTGTCGTCTCTCGATGGATTCTCGTGTTCAAATCTCGTTCTCGCGCGCGCGCGTAGCGTGGAATGTCGACGTGTGCGACCTCTCGGAATGCGATGCTATTTCGTCGAGCGCGCGGTCTTACGCTCGCGCGCACACGCGCACTACGCGAGGCGGGACGTCGGGGATTCCACAAAACTGAAGCGGCGGCGTCTCGTACGTACTCGCGCAAGCACGACCCTTGCCCTTGCCTTCTTCTTCTTCTTCTTCATCTTCCTCTTTTTCTTCTTCATTTCCCCGCCCTCCCTCCCTCGCGTAATTCGCCTCCTCCCCCAGACCTCGTCTTTGGCGTTTTTTTTCGATCATGGTCGCCGCCGCCATCGCTAGTAGTTTGCCGTAGGAGAGAAACGCCCCCCCCTCCCATCCCCTCCCTCTCTCTCTCTCTCTCTTTTAACGGAATTTTCGAATCATGCTTATTTTGTCGTGTTCGTTCTCGTCGTTTAACCGATGAACTCGACGAGACCCACGTGTTTTTTTTTCTCCCTTTCAACCGAGATTTTCGCAATTCAAAACCACGCCCCCCGTCCGCCCTTCCGACTGCCACTCCTCTTCGCTTTACAAACTCTTTCATTTTTTTTCTGTTCTGCCACGCGCCTAGTGGTCGCCGCGAAAAAAAACGAAACATTTCGAAATTTTGCGTAACTCCGCCTTTTTGTCGTACTCGATCCACATCTTTTCATTTCGGTTGGTTTTTCCCCCGCCTTGTTGTGGTTGTTATTATTATTGTGGTGTGCGGTCTTGTTGGCGTTGTGCCAAAACAAAAATGGTCCGTGGCGCCGTGCCAGGAACGCCACGCCTCTTTCACCATGCTTGTTTCGCGCTGTATTTTTTCTTTCTCTCTCTCTCTCTCTCTTTCTTTAATTCTGATAAAGATATATATTTTATATAATTGCTGTTTTTTTTTTTCAGAATAAAATCGTCTATGAGAAACAAGAAAAGACCTGAAATGAGTTTTATGTCATTGCGCTCGAACTCGCGCTCACACATCTATACCATCGATGATATGCCGATGGAGATATTGAAAATGATTTTGTCCAAGTGAGTCTATTTTATTTTATTTATTTCCCACGGTCCCTCTTTGTTTCTCCCTATGAGCCGGCTCACTTGTCTTTCATATTAGTATTTTGAATGTTACCATTTTTGGGGCTGAAGCCAACGCTCATCTTGATAAGAGCAAGACCTGATAAGGTGCCGCCACGCCCCCCCCTCCCCCTTCCACATACTCCTCTTTGCATTTCTCATGCATGTATTACTGATATGAGAGCATTTTTTAGTTGTAACAAAGTCGAAATGACACGATGTTCTTTGGTTTCGAAGCGATTCCGCGAGACGATTGAAGATCTCGAAGAGGACCATCCGGAACATGTGCGATCCACCCAACGCGCTCGAATTTTCGTTTGTGATCGCCGAAGGTTGGCAATCGAATCAACACTTTCAATCATTCATTTCGTTATTTTCTTTTAGAGCGATACTCGAGGGAGTTTCATCGTTCACACCGACGCGATTCGTTCGCGAATCGGAAAAAGAGTTGTCGAGGAACTCGTCGAAAGAAACGCTGTCGCCGAGAGAGCGTAAGAAGTCACGGACTAAATCAACTGTAAGAATTTGTTGCCATTTTTCCTTCATGAGATTTCTTTCATTTCTAGAGCAATTCTGAGAGTTCGGAAAATAATGATAAAGAGAAGAAGGAGCCCGCGATTCCATTTATAAGCGATCAGTACGCGGATAACTCATTACCAAATTGGGCGTTCCAGTTCAATTTTGATGAATGGATTGCGAATTATGAAGTTGAAGAAGTGAGTTTGTGTGTTTTATTCATCCATCTTCATCGATTATTTTCTTCTAGGTATTTTTCAAAAACTTTTGCTCATTCTTTGATCGCGAGAAATCATCATCGGAGATGAACATGAGAGGAAGTCCGGCTCTCGGCACACCGCGCGCCCCGTCGCCGCCGGACTCGTGTCGAATGTTGTCGCCGCCGCCATCGACGTCGAAATGCGGCGTCGCCATCAACGATGAGTCGATGTACACTCGATTGCTGCCAAAGGTTAGTTGAATTGGATTTGTGTTGGATTATCGCGCCGGCGAATCAACGCGTAATCCCATAATTGCTCATGGTCTTCAATCGTTTCCGTTTCAGGATATCGAAGGTTTGAAACGCTTGTCGGCCGGACGCGTCGAGCGACTCGCCAAGAATCTCGAGCACATCCGAAACGCCCATTTCGTCTTCAAGGATTTCTGCTGCTATAACGGACGACCACCAGCGTTGATCTTCTGGTTCCTGTCGATGTAAGCGTTTTTTTTGTCATCCGTGTGTGTGTGTGTGTGTGTGCGCTTGGTGCATTTTTTGGTACTATTGCGTGAAAATTATAGGGTTCGACGAAGCATGACACACCTGACGTTCGACCGTGTGCAAGCGACGGTTCCCGTCGAGCTTCATGACGTGCTGACTCTCGCCAACGTCCGTCGCGTCACTGTCATTCAACCCGACAGCAAACCTGGCATTATGGTTCGAGCGCAATTTCTGCTCATGTGGCTTCGTCTGCCCGATCAGATTCGTCAGAAGATCTCGGTCCATCTCACCGGATGTCGCGAAATGACGCCGAAAGGATTGGCGGCGTTCGTGACGGCGTGGAAGGTGCGTCCCGAGCCGGCGGTGTTCAATCAGATATCCATCGATGCCAACTCGTACAAGTTCAACGAGTTTATCAATGAGCTGGAGAGTCTTCAGAGCAAAGATGATTTGGTAGGTGCTTCACAAGCTTCTGACTCATCGAGTGTCTTGTTTCAGATTCCACCAAAGAGTCCATTCTCGAAGCCATACTCGGATGAGAACGCTCATGATGTGGTTCTCGAGAAGTCCGTCGAGATTTTCCATTCGAAAGACGCGACATTCTCGCTGAGATTCCGATACTGCAAACCGTCAAGGTAGATCAAAATTTGTTTCCCATGTGAAAACCATCGATATTCGATTTTAGGCGAATGGTTTTGACTTGCGAATGCGACGATCTTCCGAGTCTGAAGGCGTTGTCGCCGGTGCCGACGTTCTCGCGTTTGTCGCTATCGCGACCGCATTCGAGTGCGTCGGTGCTCACCGAGCTGCGAAATGTGCAATCAGCGAGTGTGATATCGTTGGACCCAAAAAATCGACGTAAGTGCAAAATGCGGGTGAATTAATGGGCTTCTTCTCCACATTTTTTCCTCGTCGTTTTTGAATGGGCCAACTTTAAACTACTTCGGGCAAGTCGCTCGTTTTCGCTCGTTCGCAATCCTCAGCGCCCGCCACCTCCGTGCAAATTAATGGGATGGTTGGTGGAGGAAAACGATTTATGAGCCCTTCAGCGCCATCAGTGAAATTGTGTGCAGATTCAAGATTTTCAACAAAAAAAATCCAACGAGTTTTCAGTGCTCCGTCCAGTCTCGCAAAACGGGGTCCGAATAGCGGGATGCCGCGAAAATGGTCACGAGGAAGAGCCATCGTTTGTGAATCGAATGCTTCGCTTCTTGGCGTCGTCGAGTTGAATTTTTTGACTCTCCTCCCTTATGTACATAGTGTATAATCAAGTTCCCAAAAAATCATTTTACGAGCTTCAATCAGCACACCAACCAGCGCTCTCTCTCTCTCTCTCCGATCCTCCTGTACATATCGAAAGAAAAGCAAAAGTTTTATTATATATCTATATCTATCTATATACATATGGTTATACATAATTGTTATTGCCGTTCTGAAAAGAGTTTATAGATTTGTTTACTAATTCGATTGTGACCAAGTCAATTAGCGACTTTTCGGAATCGTTAGGATATAGGATTTTCCAATTAGCACAGTACATACGAACACGCACATGCACCACTTGTTGACCATCTCGCACTCCATATCAGCACCCCGAAGGCAAGAATATACCGCTGTTTCTTTTATTTAAATCCGTCTGAATATTGTTTTTTTTTTGTTTCTGAAGGAACTCTCTCTTTCTCTTTCTCCCAAGACAGTTGTCATGGCTGATTTTTTTCTTTGGTATATATTTTTATATCTTTATTAAGTGTAACTATTTGAATTTATATTCCATAATGTTACGGAAAACTCATTCGATTGTTGCTCATTGAATATCGCCCGTTGGTCACCGATTTGTTTTGTTTGTTTCGAAGAATTCAATCGGCTTGTGATTTGATGTCGCTTTGATGATGATGATGATGTACTGTATCGGAGTTAATTGGAAATCATAATGTTTCCTATTTCTTTTCATTGTTCCATTCAAACGACTTTTTTTTATCTTTCGACTACTAAACCCCTTTCATTTCTCTTTTTTTCCAAAACAATGAGAACATAACAGAAGAAAGCGCTGATGAATTGCTTGTAAAATATTACCGTTTTATCCCAAACCGATATTTATCCCATTGATTTCTGTACTTACTATTGTTTTCTCTTTTTTCCCCTTTTTTTATTTATTTATGCGGTTCTAAAAACCAGAAAATAAAATTATTATTATATAACAATCGCTTTTATTTTCTGAGGAAGAATTATTGTTGAAAGTTGTTCGAGGAAATTTCCCGAAAATGATAAGCTAGGGAAATTGTGTGATTATTGAACAGTTGACTGATAATAATTGTAATCGGATTAAACTTTGAAATGGTAACATTAAAATGAACTCAATCGAACTTTTTGGTTTGTCTATTTAATTGGAATAGAAATAAAGCGTTATCGTAGACGGAGGAATTAGAGAAATTTGAATTTCGCGGCGAGAGAGGGCGGCAATTCAAATGATAATGAAAGTACACGACAAATTTGAAAATATTCAATTATTACTGGCTCGGAATTTTGATAGAAAGACAAAATGGAGATCATCTTTGAAATTTTCACTTTTCACCCAATTAATTATTATGTTCCTTTAAATTGGGTCTCGTTGCGAGAATTTGTTTAACAGTAGATACGTAGATATGCTTTTTCGAATTTTCCGATGAAACTGGGTTTTTTATTCCACATCATAATTTTTTTCTGAAAAAGTGGCTTCTAGAATCAGTCGCTGCGAGACCCAACTTCTAATTTTCTCTGTTAGGATCCTTCAATCAATCTTTCATTTATTTTAAATTCACACAGCGACTCAATTGATTCTAGAAGTCATTTTTCTTGAAAACGATAATTTCTTAAGTAAAACTTCTTAATATTTCTTAATATTAATTTTGGCAAAAATTTTAAAAGAGCGCTCTTAAAAATTCAATTTTGTTTTTATTAATTTCGAGAGAATTATGTAGATGAAGCTTTTGGGTCTTGCCACGATTGATTCTTTAAAAAAATCTGTAATTAGAAATACGACATTTATGAATTCATTGAACACTTCAACGCAATTTATAAGAGTATCTTTAAATATAAATTCAAATAAATAAATGTGTGACCGCGGCCGCAAAATAATATTTCTCGGCCATTCAACGTGCTATCCATTTTTTATTTTCATCATTAGCCGCAAAAGAGAGACGATTTCTCCAATTTGGTCGTAATTAAAAATTGCTATTTTCGCTCAAAAGAAAAGTGAACGACATCGTTTTTGTGTTGTGTTTTTTTTTTCGTCGTATGACATCATCGAAACGAAAATAGACATAAATTGAAGGGGAATGAAATGTACAAAAAAAGATGAGAAGGAAAGTCAAAGGCGTAATTTATTCCAATTCGAATTTATTTACTGAACTCGCCATTGATTCCGGAGCCATCAATTTTGTTTTTAGAAGAGGGTGGTGGCCGCGGCCGGCGCTGAATTACTAGCCTTGTTTGAATTGCCGCCATCGCCAATTTCACGAATAATGTAACAAACACCCATATAATGTCCACAGATGTTTGAAATGAGATTGCTTTGTTTCGATATTAACATTTAGGAAGGTTTCTGCCGAGTCCCGAGGGTCGACAATCTGCGTAGCGGCCGATTTTGAATTAAACAATCAGCAGATGTGGCCCCGTTTCGCCGTCGCTTTTCGAATTGCGCGGGGAAATTATGCACATCGTCATTCAGATGATGTCAGCTAACGGCTTCATCTTCTTCTTGAAAATTTAGCGACGGTGTGAATTGCTAATATTCAAAGTGCATTCATCAAAGTTGTGTTCATTTCCGGTTTGGTGTGAATTCAAGAATTGGCACGTAGAAAAAATTGAAAATAATATTTGCTGTTGCAAAAGTTATTTTTTATGATAAGACACGCTCAAACAGGATTTGCAAGTGAGCAAATATCGGAAAATCTTTTCTAGTTTTCTCTTGAACATTATGAAGTGTTAATTTTGTTCCTAAAATGTGAAATCCTATCGCGATCATAAAATTATTTACAGAAAACTGTGTCTGTAAATAACACAGTTTTCTGTAAACTAAACTGTTTTAAGCTTAATCGTTATGCGCCTTTAAACTTCTACAACAAATTTCTTTCGGGAAATTTCCATCTCGAAAAATTTAAATCGGTATTTGGGCGTAAATCAATTTTTTCTGTGAGTTATTGGTATAACTCAAACTCCCGATTCAAAAGTGCCTATCGGAAAGGCTCATTTAATCCAGCCGCGCACAGTACGAAGGTCAACTATACTCTAGCAACAACTAAATCGTTGTTTTTAGTATTACACAGTACTGGTTTAAAATACATATCGGCGTTGAACGACTGAAGGCAGGCGGGACCATCAAATTCGCGAAATCAGTGTAGATTTCAATTTTTCGTTGACTGAAAATTAAAGACGCGTACACTATAATGCAATGTACGCAATTTCGCGTACTTCTGGCTGCCTCGAGACGCATTGGCATATAGCCAATAATTTTTTTTGAATTTCGTCAAGTCGTTTGACTCCGACAAAATATGCAATTTAAATTGACGCCATAAAACTCGCGTTTTTTACACATCTGTATTGCGGGTCATCAAATTTCTGAACGAAATTTGAAAACAAAAATTGAATTGGATACGCCAAGGTGTCTCGAAGCAAATAAAATTTTTCGCGAGATTTCATTTTAACTCGTTTAATATTCAGTCAACGCCTAAAATTGCACTGATTTCATGAAAATAATTACTCCGAAATCACACAAGACACAAGAGCTCTGACACCTTTGGACAAACATTAAAGCAATGGGCAATCATTCTAATAATTCTAATTTGATTTTGAAATACCCGGGAGACATTCGTTTCAAATATAATTAATAAAATCAAATTTTGCTTTGCGATAGTTTCAATTTGATCTTATATGAAATGCCTTGAAGAGTACAATGATTTTAAAGGCGCATGCAAAAATAAGTTCGAGCCGTGACAAGATCACTGATCGATTGAACGAATATTTCAAATCACAAGCCGATTCACAAAAACATTAAATTGTGAATGATTTTGCAAATTCTCACGTACCTCGTCGATGGTCCCACAGCGAACATGAATTCTCAACAATACAAAAGAGATAATGGGTCCACTTGGGTTTCGAAATAATCAAAGTCGGGCGAAACTGACATCCCGACAGTGTTTATATAGTATTTGGTGACTAATATAAAGCATGGACCATTGCGAAATATGGCAGATAATAAAAATGCGAGCAATATGTGCATTGTGCATGTCCGCCAGTTTCAATAAATTTCCTCAATTCATATGTACATTATTATTTTATTCCGAATTACCCGCACACATTGAAACTACATCGAACGAAACGCATTTCAAAAAAAAAATTGATTTAAAATATTACAATTTCTGGAAAATAGAATACACACCGGTTCGGCAATGGATATCGCGACGGATACGTTTCAGCTAGGAACGGAAACTGAAAACAAAAATGAAATGAGAATTATTGGGATGCAATACATTATGAACAGGAACAGAAACTGAACACAAAAGATTTTGGGGTTACAGAAGAGGACTAGAATTCTAGGCATTTTAAATTACAGATTTTTTGTTGTGATTTTTTGCTTTGTTTTCTTCATATTCACATTTTTTGGGAAACCCGAGACAACAACTGATTTCGAGAGAATTGATAAAGCTTATCCACAAAATGCTACTAATACAAATTTGGAGACGAAATTGATCTACAACATTCCGCGACGGAATCTTTTCTGGATCATTTGCGGCTGCTTCTGCTCGATTTTCACGTTGGCCATGCTCGACAAATTCGAGACGAAGTTGTTTTGCTTCTCGGCGAGCGCCGCGTCCATCACGATTTGCGATTGCGGCTTCAGAATCTGAACACATTTGCGATGTGAACGTTGATTTCGAGTATTGCGTACCTGGAACGAGCATAGGAGATTCTCATCAACGTTCATCACAGCACCGGCGTTGTCGAACTCGCCGCAGTAATTCGGTGCCGAGAAGACGGTGACCAATCCGCGACGGCCGAAAAACTCATAGCCATCTTCAACAACCTGAAAGGATACAATGTCAATGCAAATTCGTAATGTAAACTGAATTCTCACCTGGTGTCCTCTGACAACAATATCGAGATCCATTCTTTGCAAAAACTGAGCGAGCACATCAACACCGAACACATAGCTGACGCCGCGCTCATTGGGAGCCCATCCGACAACGGTTGCGTCTGGATCCGACCACAGAATATCGCACAGAAGACCAGTCTCCTGAACATCGCATGGTCGCGAGATTCTTTTGAGTTGGTCCAACGATCGCAGGTTCGGCGACAATCCTCCGTGACAGCAGAATATCTTATTGTCAATTAGAGCGGCGACCGGCATACAGTTGAACACGTCTTGGAAACATTTCCACAGTTTCACGTTGTAACGACGTTTGCCTAAAATTGAAATCGCATTTCGAATTGTTTTATTTTTTGGCGTTGAAATTGAAATAGCCTACATTCATCATAGAACCCGTAGATTCGGTTGAGATTCGCCACTTCATGGTTTCCGCGAAGCAGGAAGAAATTGTTGGGATACTTAATTTTGTAGCACAACAATAGGAGAATCGTCTGAAAGTTTTAAAATAATTGAGGGGCAGGAAACGCGAAGAAAAAGTGCAAACGATTACTCAGGTAAATCGAATAAAATATTTTGAGATTCATTGAGAAACTAACGTGTCTCTATAATATTTTAAATTTGTCTAAATAAACTTTAGGAAATCTCATAAGATTTTAGAATTTATCGAGATAATTTAGAATTTGCTCAATAAATTCTAGAAAATCTTATAAGATTTTAAAAAATATTTTTAAGTTTAGCTATTCTCAATAAGTTTTAGAAAGTATCAATAAACTTTAGAATTTCTCAAAATATTTTAGAGCTTATCATTGAATATTTGATTCTCAAAATATTTTATTTGATTTGCCTGAGTAAAGCAATTTTCGGATTTTTGGTGTTTCCATTTTTTTTCACCCGCCCGCCGCACGTACGGAATTCGGAGTTCAAAAAATCGAAATCTTTCATTCTCTAAATGCTAAGAAAGTTGAATACTAAATTTATATCTTTAAATTTCTGAAAAAAACCGGAGAAAAAGGACCGATCAATTGTAAAACGCAGTTTGAAATTTTTACATTACGGTATTTTTTTCAAAGGCGCATATGATAGCAATTTAGAAATATCTTGAAGAGATAATGAAATTTGTTCGTTTAATTTAAAAAAAAAACTTCATTTTCCCCCAATTTTTCGACAAATCGCTGAATTTGGCGAGTTGCCGTCGATCGAAACGCCTCGCCCGAATGTTTCGATTTCGTTTTCGAACTGCGTTAAAATCTCTGCAGTGTCCGAAAATGTACCAATTGACGCCTCGACCAGCACTCACACACCAAAATAGTGGGCGGCGTCGACCGTGACGACTCGGACGAGCGTATGCGTAATCGCATCAAAACAATCTAGTTTAGTGCGCAAAAATTGGTAAAACAAAATTTTTCTCTGTTCACCGACCCGACGATCGCGCGGCGGCACAAGACAAAACATAATGCGAACCTCAATACTCTTCGGGCCGCGATCAACATAATCTCCAAGGAACAGATAATTGGATTCCGGCGGATAACCAGCCAAGCCGAATAATCGAAGAAGATCGGAGTATTGACCGTGAATGTCGCCTGAAATCTCATAAAATGTCAATTACGCAAGTGCGCTCCATTGCACAATTCGCCAACCTCCAATTTTTAATGGCGGCTCAAGCTCGAGAAGCATCGGCTGATGCATGAATATCTGTCGGGCGAGCACACAAACCATTCGAATCTCGTTCTCAGTGACATCGAGCGTCTTATGCCACGGTTTCACCGACACCAGCGTCGAGATCAGCTGATCAACGTTGAGTTCGCCGTATGAGGAGGAGGTCTTGCGGCGCATCATCTCTCCTAAAACGAAATTGGTCCAATATATGTGTTGAACGAGAAAGAAAATATTGAAGGGGGGGGGGACAAAAAAAAATGAAGATGAAAGATTTATCAATGCATTGTGTGTGTGTATTGTCACGGATGGTTTGCGTCGCCTTCGATTGAGGCTGTGAGCGACAAAATGCGAAAAAAAGAACCGAGGAGGAGGAGGAGGAGGAGGCGGACGGACGGGCGGCGCACCGAACAGAACTCTCTGTTCAACCAAATTGTTTTTTTTTTTTGCGCGTCGCGTCACACCTTGTTTTTGCCAAATTTATCAAGTGAGCCGAGAGATATGCAAATTTTTGTTACGATTTCCATTTTTTCGATGTGTGGGTGTCAATAAACAGGTGACACCTCCGGCTAGCTTATACTGTAGCAGTCGTTTCAGCTGTGTGAACTCAAAGACCAAACCAAACAAACATGGATGTTGGGTTGAAGGCGGGGGGGGGGGACAAAAAATCGCATTAATTCTTTGGCCGGCCAATTCCACTTGGCTTTGATTGGATTTGCTGGGAGAATATATCCATATAAGGGCATGGAGATGGAGAAGCCAAAAAAAAAGAGCGAAAATCGACATCGACAAGTTCACAAAAATTTTCCGCAGAAGCTTTTTTTCGAGTTCTTTCCGCATGCAATAAATTATCATAATCGGCGAGGTCTCACCGCGAACAAAACAAATGCATATTCGAACCGAAGTACGGTAGTCCGATGCTGAATTATCAATTATTTAGCGTGGAGCGTGGGAAAATAATCGCCGATTGGTATTCATCAATGATTTCGCACATTTTCGTGTTCAACCTTAAAAGGGGGTGATAATGGTTTTTTTGGTAGATCAAAACAGGTTTCTACGCACAAATTGAAATTTTGAAGGTCGCTCGTTTCCGGAAATTCGAAATTTTTCAAACTTTCACTTGTTGGCAAATGTCCGCAGATGGGAATTTATGAATTTCATCGATTCATATTGTCGACGCCGCGCGACTGCGGAAAATTGGCTAAATGCCAAACGTCGACAATAATTGCGAAAACAAAATTCCAGAGTCATTGGCGACCACGAGCATATTGATAATGGAATTGTGAAACAATTGGACTCGCGCCAAAAAAGGCCATTCGTGTTTGAGTTTTGCGAAATGTGACAAGTAGAAAATAGCAAGAAATGCGAGATCACATGCGAACCCGCCGTCAAAAAATAAAAAATGCCAAAAAAAATTGCGAGTCAATTTCCGAGAAAACCTGTTTTTTCGCCGCGGGTTTGTTTCAAATGCCATTTTGAGAGGTACCAAATTCAAACGTTTTAGGTGACGAAGGGAAAGTTTTGATTTATATGTATGCGCGGTGCGGGATATTCGATGAAATTTCGCAGATGTGAGGCAATAGTTCTTTTTTTTTGAAATTTTTTTTCAGAAATTCCAAAAATGAGTTAGTCGCGGGTTCGAACCTGCGAGGTGCCGCGCGACAAGCAAAAAGGTGGGCAGTTTGCCACTTGTACATCTTGTTAAGGGCGCTCGAACGGCATATAAGAAACCTGCTCACACTTTTATCATTTTATTTTTTTTTTCGAAATAGAATATTTGTGGCAGCTCTCGAAGACGAGTAATGTATCCGAAAAGCTTGTTGATGGCTCATTCAATTACAAAAATTGTCTAGAAGATCATAAAAAATTTCCTTATAAGACCAACGGCGAACTAAAACGAGACGATTGAAAAATCGAGAAGAAGAAGAAAAAAAACCGGTGCTATGAATAAATTATCGGAAAATCGTATATCTTTGGCCAATCGGCGAGTGGCAGCAAAAAATCGCGAAAATGCGACAAAAATTTAATTGCAATTCCCCAAATTTGGAAACGATTAATTTATTCGCGAGGAGAACAAACAAACAAAATTGCATTTTTTTTTTCGGGCCCCCCTCGAAAATTCTGAGATTCGGCCGACTCGAAATTATTCATGGAAATGAAAACTCGACGGGGGTTGATGAATTTCGAATTGAGCAACTGAATGAGCCACTTTGACGACAGGTGAACACAAAAAATCAATTTTTCAGCGAGTTTGACCCATTCGTTGCGGGACCTGATAAGAGAGTACTGTAGCATTTAATGAGGTGTGCGTTAGGGATTCCAACGTTCGAGGGAAATCCATCTATTTGATTGGGTCTTGCGAAGACATTAGTTTTCAATTTAAAGGCGCATACCCTCAACAAAAGATGATTGAATCAAAATGTGTGACATATGATTTTTTTCAGATAATTTAGCAATTGGGTCTCACCACGGAATCTCTGTTTGCAATTAAGCAGAGGGTCCCTAACACAAGGATTAGCTGATGTGACATCAGTTGGAAGTCGACAAGAAATCGTTGCGAGACCCAGTTTTTTTAGCATTCGAATTTTTGCACTTAAAATTGTTTTTGGTTTTGAAATTCGATATTCGAGGTTGTCGATGTGACGCACATGGAATGTCGGAAAAAAATGAACAAAAAAAAATGGAACGAAAGGAGACGCATTTTTTTCGGGTCGACGCAACTACAGTATGTTTTTGTTCTCCCGCAACGATTACTCATAATCGAGCGAAAATAGAAACGCAAAACACAAAAACAAGTTTCAGAAGACGAGACGAGTTGGGGGGGGGGTCGTTGTCTTTTTTTCCATATGGGACCCATAACTGGGGTCAGGTGACGTCACACCTCACATATGTATTTTTGTGCAGAAGAAAGTTGAAGAAAAATATGACATGAACGAAAACGAGCTGACGATGGAAAGAAGAAGGCGAAGAAAAAAAAATACATAAAAAAATATGAGAAGGAAGAAGAAGATGGAGAAGAATGAAACAAACTGGAAAAAAATTGGAGCGGCTGAAAATTCGTTTTTTTTTTTTGCACTGGTGTGGAAGTGGAAGGTCTTGAGGCGAATTAAAATTTGAATAAGGTATTTAGAGATAGTGGTCTTCAAATGATCCAAATTAGGCGTTCCTATATATTTTTTTTTGAAAGAAATTAAAATTAAATGGCGCTTTTAAATTCCAAAAAAATGCGATCAAGCCATCAGGTAGGTATTGTGCGCGTTGAGCTCCGAGAAGAGGGAGCCGAAAAAAGAAATTCCGTCACAAAAAAAAAACAACAACAACAACAACAAAAATAGAAGATGAAGCGCCGAAAACGAGATGGACGAGTGAGAGAGTTCAAAAAATTCGAAGACTCAAAACGAAAGGTCGAAAAATATCTGGAGCAAAATCTTGTGTATGTGTGTGTTTTTTTTTTGTTACCAGTTGCTCTCATTTTCCATCGTCTCCCATTTCATTTGTTAGTTCGCGCTGGCGCTGAAAATATGAAAATATCGGCGACAGAAAGAGAGAGAGAGAGAGAGAGAGAGAGTCGGCAGGCACCTGGTCTCAATTTTAACACCAAGCACGCCATGCGCGCAATTCGATTCGAATCAACTAAGGGGGGGGGGCACTTCGACAAAAAAAAATCTATGGGGGGCAAAAGTGTATGGATAATTGAAATCTCACGCGGGCTCGCCTCGTCAGAGAGAGAGAGAGAGAGGGCAAAAAAAAAAAGAAATGCGCGCGGACCACCAACAACAACAACAATGAGAAACGTGCGAAACAAACTTGGTCCATTTCCGGGTTCAGATTTATATGAGTGTGTGAAAATTGAACATTGACGAAAATGTGCGTCTCTCGGCGCGATGCGCCTTTAAAACATCCTGCTCGAAAGCAATTCAACAGATTTCGAGTCGTGGTCTCGTTTATGAAGGAATTGAGAGGACAGTAGTTTACGGTAATGGGTCTCGCATTGAAATTTGAAAACGTCGAAAATTGTTGTTTATCATTTCTGAAAAAGGTTTCGAATTTGCCCTAAAGAGCCTTAAAGGCGCATGTCCGTAAATCTACACTAGACATCAAAGACAATTATTAATTGAATGAGTCGTAAATGTCGGAAAACTGATAAAACTTTGACGTAAAATTTGGCAAACACCAATCAGGGAATTTATGAGAGAAAAAAATGGTTTCCCCAATTTTTTTGTTGTTAGAAATTTGATTTGAGCAACCTAGAGCCTCCTGACAAAACAGAAAAAAATAAAAGAAATTGGGAGGAGGAGGACAAGTGATTTTTGGATCAAAAATTTTGATAGAACATAAATAAAATTGCGAGGAAGCAGCAACAGCAGTTGTTTTTTTTTTTTTTGAATGGAAACAAGTTGAATCGACGAGACGCAAAAAAATGGATTTTCAGCCAATCAAATGAAATAAATTCAAGAGAGGCAAACTCCATTCTTTTTTTTCGCGTCGCCCAAATGTCCGCAAATTGGCGGCAAGTATAGCGCATTGTTTGCAGATTCGCACAACGGCTCGTTCGATATGATGAACGATTGAGGTGGAGGAGGTGACGATGGCCGATGATAACACAACGTCGTAAAATTTTTGCGAGAAAAAAAATGGGCGCTATTCGTTTGGCTCGAAACAACCGTTTGATGTGATTCCTCTAATTCATACGAATTTTGAGAGAATCGATTTTTTTTCAATTATTTATTATGTGAACATTTATTTCTTGGAATTAATGAAATTTGTGATTGACGATAGCGAAAAAAAGCACTACTCAAGTGACCCCCCCCCCGGGTTCAATCAGGCTTCTTTCAGCCAAATTTTTGTGCTTCTGAAAAGTCTCAAAAAAAGCAAAACCGTAAAAATGTATGTCTATTATTCATATTGCGATTTGAAATCGAGAAAATGCTGCAGCTTTTTTATTTCTACAGGGTCTCGAGACGATTACATTTAAAATCGTTGCGGGACCGCCATCTGATTTGAAGGCTTAACTAGACTATAGTTTAAAATTGACAAAAAGAAACCTTCTGGTTTCGAAATGCCGCTCAAACGCGCGAGATTACTTCGGGTTTTATTTTCGCTTCAAAAACCCATTACCCAAAATGGGCAGTCTTAAAAGGGGGGGGGGGCATTGACTTCATGAAGAAAAATGATGGAGACAA